GCAGTCAACTTCCTGAAGCTTGGCGAAGGGAAGCTTTTGGGGCTGTGTAATATAGGGTTTAGGGTTTAGGGGTTTAGGGTTTAGGGTTCAGGGTTTAGGGTGCCTAAAAAATCACCAATAATACTATTTGGGGATTCCTGATTATAATTATAGTATCATATACCCCCAAAACCCTGTTCTAATTATTAAGGCCCTGCATTGATTAAGGTCAAACCGAATATCATATACCCCCAAAACCCTATTCTAATTATGAAGGCCCCTGCATTGATTAAGGTCCATCCCAAAGACCTCAGGAGCTTCGGGTAGCTTCGCTAAAACTTAGGGTCCTAAGGTTAAGAGCTTGTAGGTTCGGTTGGTTTAGGGTTTAGGGGTTTAGGGGTTTAGGGGTTTAGGGTTTAGGGGTTTAGGGTTTAGGGTTTAGGGTTTAGGGTTTAGGGTTTAGGGTTTAGGGTAGGTATCTGAGTTCATTGGCAGTTTTTGGTGTCCGGGAGCCCCAGCCGAGACATGTAACAAGGGCAAGATCATGATTTCAGCCCTCGAAAATCCTAGGTAGTATCAGGGTGACCGCTTAGAGGGGACCCTTCTTAACCCTACTTATGGCTCTCTTAAAAATGGACCTTATTGAGAGGCTCCTAATCCTAACTCCTAGCAAAGAAAGCCGCTGGACCAGCGGGGTGGAGGCTTGAGGAGTTTGGGGTGGTGTGGTTTTAAATGAAGTCTGTCAGGGCTTAGAATTGGTCCGCTAAGTCTTATAGGATCCTTAAGGGAGGGTGGCTCAAGGGGGGAGGGTCCTAGGGAGCTTTAGGGAACCTAAGGGACTACTAGGGAGAATTGGGGATTACTGGGTTATATACCCCCCTTAGAACCCCCTCCATTCAGGATTCCATAAAAATCCGGCTCGCTGTCTTCCACAGAGGTTACACAGTGACATAAACCGTGGTAATCAAAGCAACCAGAAGTCTGGGAACAATAGTTCCCCTAAGCCCGAAACCCTAGCAAGAGAGCTTCCAAGCGAAACCCTGTTGCCAGCACCGAGGACATCCCATGGCAAAGGCTTTACGCACCGGAAGCCCAAGAGATACTTTGTGGCAGAAGCGGTTTAGGGTCTAGGGTTGGGTGTAGGCAGTACTACTAACAGTGTTCCGTAGACCCGTCTCAAAGTGCTAGATTTTCTTATAGGCCCTTGCATGAGCCTCCTTTTGTAAACAAAGTTTCCGCTACTTGGTGATAGGTTATTCCAGAGTATGCCCGTTTCCAGGGCTCTGTTGCACTCACCTACCATTGATGCATTGATGTTGGGTGCCCCAAAGGTGGCCTTAGTCAATTTCGTCCCGCACAAACCCGACTTGCTACTTCGTGACCCTGAATGCGAAAACCTGTGCAGCGATGGTTATCCGACAGACTCTGCCAGGTTCAGCCGTTTAGGGTCTTATGCGGAACCCAACGTGCTCTTCTTCCAGGGTCAGAAGGTTGATACAACACCTCTGTATAACCCCAACGTAGAAACCTAACCTTCGAGGAAGTTTAGGTTGTCAAGACATGTTTGAGGGGCCAGGGATTCGACGGCCAGGATTCAGCGAATGTATTCCTCCACATAATGGGCTGCTCGTTTAGCTACCATAGAAGCCTAAATATAAACCAACACTAATCCTTAGGGTTCTTTATTGTATTTGTACTATAATATGCTCCAAACCCCTATGTTAATCCCTTATAGTACCTACCCTAAACCCTAAACCCTAAACCCTAAACCCTAAACCCTTAATCCCTTATAGTACCTACCCTAAACCCTAAACCCTAAACCCTTAATCCCTTATAGTACCTGGCTTCGAACTTCGAGGGGATGTTTGGAGTTGAAGCGTTCTTCTCCTGGATTGACCAGGAGGTCGGCACAGAATAAACCCAGACGCAACCCCTGAGCGCCCAAACTAGGGTTTAGGGTTTTAGGGTTTAGGGTTTAGCCTAAGCCCTAAGACTTAAACCCGCAAACCCCCGAAAGCCACACCCGAAACATGTCATCCCAGCCCCTAACCCCCCAAAAAATGAACCCTGACACCGCCAAACTGCCCCAAAAAAGCCCAGACAAGAAAAACCTATGTAATCGGCATAGGGTTTAGGGTTCAGGCTTTGGGGATTAGAGTTTACAGGGTTTAGCCTAAGTTATCCGGCCCCTCCTCTGTCAGAACCAGGAATCTCAACATGCAAGCAACTCCCTGTTCCTCGGACTGCAAAGGGCGAGGAAGGAGCTGAGGGTCGGGTCAAAGCAAAGGGCAAAGATGCATTAGAGTTTAAGGTTTAGGGTTTTTTCAGTTGAGGGTTCAGGGTTCAGGGTTTAGGGTCTAGGGTTCAGGGCTTAGGGTTTAGGCTTCAGGGTTTTGGGTTTAGAGTTTAGGGTTTTAAGAGTTTAGGGTTCAGAGTTCAGGGTTCGGGGCTTAGGGTTTAGGGTGTAGGGTGCAGGGTTTAGGGCTACACTGCTATATGTTTGAAAATAATATAATGTAATGTAATGTAATGTAATGTAATGTAATGTAATGTAATGTAATGTAATGTAATGTACTTCAATACATCATAATACTATATAGTGTAATAAAACACAATGGTAGCCGTACCAATATATTGTAATTTTGTAGCTTTGGGGTATGAACACGATGTAGCAGTTCTCACTTCTCTCATAGCCGTTTCAGAAGGATGAGGTTCCCGAATGCAGAGCCCCCGTTTGATACTTCTTACGGCCCACATATATATATATATATGTATGTATGTATGTATGTATGTATGTATGTATGTATGTAAGTATGTATATATATATATGTATGTGTACACACATATGTGTCCCAAATCCTAAGCTTTACATGTGAGCATCGAAGTCGCCGGATCTTGAGTACGCACAAGCCTGTAGTCTGCGACCCTCTTCCCCAAGCGCCTACATACTAAGCCCCAAACCCTAAAACCGAATCTGCGGAGCTTTAGAGCTCCATATCACCTGACCCCCCAAACTTCGAATGTAACCTCGTAGGAGCCTTGCACGAGAATTCTACAACACTGATAAACGAAATTCAAAATTCCTGTCCTTGACAAGGATTTCACTGGGGATCGGGGTACTAAGGCCTTTGCAGCGGGATTTTCTTGATCAGCGGTCTACATTGCCTAGCTTGGTACAGCCCAATCTTCATGTGCTTGCTGCCAAAGCTCTCTGCCAACAGGCGTGCTAGACAGCGATCAGCTTCACCAACTCATCTTTTGTGAATATGCCTCTCGGATGCTTATTGGAATGCTTTGATCTTTTTGTAATTTGCAACACCAAACCTTTACCCACCGAGCGCTTGTTGTCTGCACACTCCGTCACCGATACGCACTTCCTCTGCAACCCAAACCCTGTCAGACCTAAGCCCAGATCCTAAACCCTAAGTGGCCGTGCCCGTAGGCCCCATAGTAGTTCCTTTTTGGGATTGCTTAATAGGACTCTAAATCTGAACCCCAAAAAGGAACTACTATGGGGCCTATGGGTAAACCCCCCTAAACCCCAAACCCTAAAACCTAAACCCTAAACCCTAAACTCAACCTCCCCGAATCCCAGACCCGAAGCCTGGCTTATGGCTTTATGGCTATGGGTGAACCCCAGGTACAGCTTGCAAGCGTGAGCCCAAGTTTTACGGGACTCGCTGGGCTGACTCCAGCGATCCCGGTGATGTGCCGCGCCCCAATTGTTTGCGTAGGATAGGACCCGGCGTTTGAAAAGAGCTCGCTGCGCACTCTTGTGTCATAACATATGTTGCAGAATATACAGGTTAAGGCAGTCCATGAGCCCTAGACTGGAAATCTACTTACTACTCATAGGCCCCAAAGTAGTCCCTTTTTGGGGTTCATATGTAGAATCCTATAAGGTAATCCCAAAAAGGAACTACTATGAGGCCCATGGGTAGGCCCGAGACTCGAAGCTCGGAAGCTAAACCCACCCGAAACCCGAAGCGAGCACCCCATGCTTGAAAGGGACGGAGTTGAAGGGAACTAGTCTGAAGTCCAGCTCCAGTTCAAGTGACCCGGTGATGGTGGCTTAAGGCACCGTAGCAAGGTAGGGCTTTCAGTTTAGGGCTGCGATTTTGGGGTCCAGGGTTTATGCAGGAGAATGGTATTGGCGTCTCTAGCTTCGTTTTCGAGTTGAGGGTTTGCAAGTCAGCTTCTCAAGGTTATGGTGTTGGCATTCGGCGTCTCTGACTCAGGTCTAGAAGCCAGGGCTCCACATCATCTCCTCAACCTTAAACCCCTAAATCCAAATCCATATCACAGACTTTATGCTGATAGGCCGGGACCTTCTTTAGGCCCTAAGCTGCGGATTCCGGACCGGAGCCAACATCCTGACCCAGTCCTAAAGCTCAGCAATCAAAGGAGCATCTAAGACTCTGATGGTTGGGAGTTAGCAGCTAGGATTCGTTCCTTAGGGGGACCTGTGGGGATATGGACCCTCTCGACAATGTCCCGTTGAAGAGATCCAGAAGTAAGGTTCAGAAGGGTCCCCCCTTAAGGGGTCTCCCTAAACCCAAAACCCTAAACCCCAATACTAGAACCCATTGGTTCATCTCCCAGCCAGAGGATCCCTATCTTGGCCCACTTGGAAACGCCACGTTGCCGCAGCTTTTGCCGCAGTTTCAAGAGACCGGCGCCGGAGAGGAAACTGGCATTGGTGTTGTTATTCTTATCATCATCCTTATTCTACTTGTTGCTATTCTGATGATGCTTACTAGTAATATGATCCTAAACCCTAAACCCTAAACCCTAAACTACTCTGACTATGGGAAATCCCCTTGGAAGAGCAAGACTCTGTTAACTCTGATGAACCCTAAAGCCAAGCAAAACGAGGATCCCGTCCTCTCCAGGATGTCCCAGAACAGTAAGATGGGTTTAGGGTTTAGGGTTTAGGGTTTAGGGTCATACTTGTATAATAACGATAATCAGGTTTCAATACCATCCCTGGGGTAGGGTAAAAGAATACTCCTGCAGATGCGATGTACCCCAGCTCAGCCATGTTGCTGAAGATCGAGCGCCTCCGCCTTTCTTGCTGACCACGTGCATGGTGGTTTAAGTCTACATTTTGGCCGCTCTCCTCGTGCTGCTCTGTTTCCATCCCCAAACCCTAAACCCTAAACCCTAAACCCTAAATCCCAAACCCCAAACCCTAAAATCATGTAATAGAATATTGCCAGCCCTAAAGTCAAGAAGAGCAGCCGCATGCCATGCATCCCCATTTTTTGCATGCACTTTTCGTCTCAAGGTCCGGGGGAGTTCATGGCCTTGGCTATATCAAGGCCCATGATCCATGGAACGTCCATGTCACGCACGAGCCTTCAGTGCCATCTCATCCTTCTCAAAAAAAGCCCAACTCGCACTGGTTCACCCTAAACCCTAAACCCTAAACCCTAAAAAACCCACGGTTTAGGATTTGGGGTTTAGGGTTTGCCTTGCGATCGTTCTTGAACCATGGAACTCCCTGGGCAGCCGGTGACGGCGCACTCACTCGCTGATCTTTTTGATGCAGCGCTGGAGGCCATTTTTTTAAGGGGATCTCAGTTCATTGGCTTAACTTAAAAAGGGCCTTATCAGAGCTTTATGGAGGATGTTATAAGGTTGTTGAAGGTTTTCGTTTATGGGGGGGGGCGGGTGATGAGGAGCTTATGGGCTTTGAAGGGCCTTCCTTCGTACTCCAAATACTGCGGAGTCTACATGCCGGACTACCATGACTCAACGTTTGCCTGGTCAAGCAGCAAGTGCAGCGGAATCCCCGAAGAGAAGTCCAGAACGGCCCAGCCATAGCCTGATCCCTGAACCCGAGGTTTAGGGTTTAAGGTTTACGGGAATCATAAGACTTAATTATTAATGTAGAAGCCTACATTCTACTGTATATGGGTACTTGTATCTGTTCCTGATGTAGAACACCCTACATGTTTATTGTAAAAGGTTCTTTCTTAGGACCCTTCGGGCTGGCAGGGCCCAGCCCCAAAAACCTAACCCCCAAACCCTAAAGCCCCTACAGAAAGGCATCGCAGACGGAAAAAGGGGTTAAACAAAAAGAAGCCCTAAACCCCAGCCATAAACGCTCAAGCCTAAAGAAGCCCTAAACCCCTAACCCGAAACCCTAAAAACCCAAACCCCCAAAACCCTAACCCCAAAACCCTAAAACTCCAAAACCCGAAAGCCCTAAACCCCAAAACCCCAATCGCCAAAGCCTAAAGAAGCCCTAAACCCCCAACCCGAAACCATGAAAACCCTAAACCCTAAATCCCTAAGCCCCAAAACCCTAAAATCCTAAACCCCTTAAAACCCTAAACCCTAAAGCCTAAAGAAGCCCTAAACCCCAAGCCCCTCAAACCCTAACCCCCCAAGTCCCTAAACCCTAAAGCCTAAAGAAGCCCTAAACCCCAAAACCCTAAAACCCTAACCCCCCAAGTCCCTACAACCCTAAGGAAGCCCCAGCCTCCGGCTTGCAGGCGCCCACACCTTCGTCGAAGCGGCAGCAGCAGCAGCTGAAGCGCCAGGAGAAATTGGAGAGGTTCCTGCAGGCCCCTCGGGCTCATAGGGTTCAGGGTTTATAGGGCTTATAGGGCTTATAGGGTTTATAGGGCTTACAGGGTTTATAGGGCTTATAGGGTTTATAGGGTTTCGGGTTTAGGGGTTCAGGGTTCAGGGTTCAGGGTTTTAGGTAGTTTGGGGGTTTAAGGGTTTCGGGTTGAGGGTTTGGGGGTCAGGGTTTTCGGATGCCCCTCCCCCCAAGCCCTCTCTGGAAGTCGCTGCATGTGTCAGTCTTCATTGTGGGTACTCGTCGCAAGCGAGATATTCAGAAGTTCAGGCTGACCGATCCTAGACCCTGAACTCTAAACCCTAAACCCTAACCCGACCAGCCACCCGGCTCAATTAACTGGCCGCCGGATCCAGGTGTGTCGAGAGATTGTGCAACAACCCAAATTAAAGGCTCCATGTACCCATGTACTTAGGACTTAAAGGGGTTCCCATACAGGTAGTTTAAGAGTTTAAGGCATCTGTAGAAACTGTATTGTTACATGGAGCCTTAGGGCCAGATGGTGAAGAAGGCCTTGATACCTTTCGCTCAACAACTGAACCCGTCCATCCTCGACTAATTCAGGGGCCTTAACAATCAACCCCAAACACAAGCGCTACAAATCAGCTTTTTCGCGCCCTGAACCCAAAAAAGTTACAATTATAGTATGATCCACCCCAACACCCTATTGTAAGAACTAAGGCCTCTGCATTATTCCCTCAACCCTCAACCCTCAACCCAAGCCCGGAGGCCAATCGCTTTTCGAAAGATTTCTCCGAGCCCCAGCATTCGCGTGGTTGCTTCGGATGGGCCAAAGAGGCCGGAGACTCAACGTCAGTACTTGCAAGAGTTGTTCGTCCTGTGTCGGGCAGTAGCAACTTTTGAGCTCTTATTTGGGGGTTTCCGACAATTAGGGTGCCTTATTTTGGGGTCCTTATATTAGGGATCCTATTATTTAGGCTACTATATTAGGGTCCCCTATTTTCAGAAACCCCCATTTGACAGAAATGCAGTTCGCGGTGTAACAGGTGGGGAGTGTAGGTTCAGCAGGTAGCATAAAGTAGGGAGGTGCTCAGGGCTCTGAGGTTAGGTGAAGCTCAGGGTCACTACTGGGAGCTAGCGTGGAGGGCTTGCTGTAGCTTTTTGACTTAAAGCAGAGAAGCAGTTCCTGCCTATAGTAAATCCCAACAAGGTTTAGGGTTTAGGGTTTAGGGTTTAGGGTTGGAAACCGGATAAAGGACAATTAGTGCTGGGATTCCCTGGGCATTACTCTTAAAGATTGAGGCTACGAGGTTTCCAACTCTTGGGCTTCCGCTGTGCGCCTCCACAGCCTCTGTACAATCACATCAGCATGGTGATTTGGGAAGACCCTGCAGTCGTAGGGGTTTAGGGTTTAGGGTATAGAATTTAGGGTTTAGGGTTTAGGGGTTTAGGGGTTTAGGGATTAGGGTTTAGGGTTTATGATCATCCCTAACCCTCCAGGTGCCTACTATATGGGGCCCTAGAGGCTCTAGTACCCTATATAGTAGGTACCTGGGGGTTAGGGCATGCCTTCGGAGTGGGTCCGCAGACTTTGCAAAGGTCGGCCCCTAAGCTTCTGTGTAGGTTTTAGGTTTTGCGAATGCAAACCCTAAGCCCCAAAACCGTAAAATCCTAAACACTCAACCCTAAACCCTAAACCCTACACCCTAAAAGCGTACAATCCGAAACCCCCAAACCGGAAAACCCTAAACCCTGAAGCCCAAAGCCCCAAACCCCAAAAGCCCAAAGCCCTAAACCCTAAAGCTTTCAGTGTCCGTCTCGTGAGCCTGTCGATCCATAGGTTGCGTCGGGTCGGCCCCAAATCGAACCAGCATGCACCGAACACGTCAGGCGATGAACCGTTTAGGGTTCAGGGTTTCGAACGCCCGAAGACTCTGAACTTGAAAAAGCGGTAGGCGATCCAAACCCCTGACCCTAAACCCGTAAACCCCGTAAGCCCTAAACCTGTAGCTTAAATCCTGAACCCGAATACCTGTAACTTGTTGCGAGGTGGAAAAGGGCTCTCAAAAAAAAACCGACTACCTGGAAACAAGAGAACGTCAAAGGCGATCTATCCCATCCATGCTGCGGCAGCGCTCGGAGACTGGGCTATTGTTAAGGGTTTAGGGTTCAGGGTTTAGGGTTTAGGGATTTTAAACTAGCATAATCGGTGCCCTCCAGGAAATGGCTGGGTTTCCATATCATGGTAACTTGAATGAAGCCCTCTTAACCCTAAACCCTCATACAGAGCGTTTAAAGGATTCCTAAATTATGAAAACTTTGATCACATTCAACCCCAAACCCTAAACCCTTATAGAACCATTAAAAAGCCCTTAGAGTCAAAGAGGAACCTTACACTATTGGAACTTAAACCCTAAACCCTAAACCCTAAACCCCAAACCCTGATACAATTCCTCAATACGAACCCAGGAGATGGAGAAGTGGTTCGGATGCTTCTCGCTGCACAGGCTGCGCTTTCATTCGGGTTTAGGGTTTCCAGGAGTTTCTGGATTTAGGGTTTAGGGTTTCTCAAAGTTTAGGGTTTAGGGTTTCTCAAAGTTTAGGGTTTAGGGTTTCTAAAAGTTGAGGGGTTTAGGGTTTAGCACTTATAGGGTGTAGGGTTTCATTTGGGACTAGGGTATGCCTCGAGCTACCAAAACCCACTGTTTTATAAGGGCTCCTGTAAGCTCTATACTAGGGCTCAAGATAGCAACCGACAGAAAAGAAGGTTAAGGTAGTTTAAGGTGGAGTTTTGTTTAGGAGGTTAGGGTATCACTCGGATTTAGGCTCGAGAGTTTGGGTGTTGAGTTAGGTGCTGGGGTTTAGTTCGAATTCGGGCTCAGGAGCTCTGAGCGCAGGCCTCGCTACAAGATTCTGAGCATATGCACGTAACTCCGTCAGCATTGGTTCATATTTAGGATGCTAGAAGGTAATCCCAAAAACGGACTACTATGGGGCCTATGGGTAACCTCCCCAAAGATAGTCCATTTTACTACAGCCCTTCAAAGTAAAGCCGTTTAGGAGTTTCGGTCTTCAGTCGTCCGCAAAGGGGCTCGGGGGTCTTAGTTGGGGTCGGAGTTGGGGACTTTAGGGTTTAGGGTTTAGGGTTTAGGGTTTAGGGTCTAGGGTCTAGGGTTTAGGGTTCAGGGTTTAGGGTTTGGGGTTTAGGGAAGACCAACTGACACAGAAACATAGAAGACACATAAACACAAGTATAGCGAACGGCGCGTGCATCAAACAAGGAACTTGCGCTCAGGGCCCCTATACCATAGAACCACTTCTAGTGACCCTTGTATTAAAGGAACCCGGAACCCCCCTATAAAACCCTATTCTAATGGTGAAGGCCCCCAATATGGGCCTAACTACCTATACTATTTTCGGGGTTCTTGATTATTTTTATATTTCTTTAGATCTATATACATATATATATATATATATATCATATATACATATATATATATATATAT